GAGGACGACGGGATGAACCCAAAGCCGAACAAAAAATTGCCCTTAGAAGTAGAGTCCCACGGGACTATTGCTTGGAAGGGCTTTTTCACACATTCCCAAGTTCTTTTGTCCTCCATTGTTTAGCCTGCGTAGCAGGCGTCGAAAGGGGTAGGGGGTAGAGGATAGGGAGGAGGGAAAAAGGGGAGGGGGATTGGGGAGAGGGGGAGGGGACGCCTGCTCTAAGAACTCCCATTTGTTCATATCTGCGGACGCTGGCGTCCGCAAATTCCTGATTGGCTGAGCCGTAATGAGTAACATATTGAAATGCGCGTTTCACAAATCAACAAACAGTCGAGATGGCAGGTGGATGTCGTAGAGAGTGCTTTGAGGGATGTGAATTTATCTAGTGGTAGAGAAACTGTTTTAAAACCGGAGCGAGAATCATCAGTAAGGGCTCTTTTAGTGGACAGAGATGTTCTGGCGGTTTTGCGGACCGGATACGGCAAGAGTTACCAAATGTTTGTACGCGCGAAGAACTTCATTTCGCCACTGAAAAGTATTATCGAAGACCAGTTGCAGGAGATGGAACTGTTGGGCTACCCAGCGAAAGATTTAGCCAATTTATCGAACGATGACATTCGCCGATGTAAAAGAGGGTGGTTTTACCTCATGCCAAAATGCTGCTTATTCCAATAAAGTTGTTTTTATCTGCTGGGTAGATTATGCTCTGGAAGGTTCTGCATTTATACTGAGAAAATGTTATTTTAGCCGCATGTTTCACACTGAGAGGTCATGACATACATATCGATTGACTGTAGTTATTGTTTTCTGGTCGGCAGGATTTGCCCTCTGATGCAAGCGCAATTTCTTTGACCTCTTTTTGAAGCGTAAAGCTTTTTTTTATTACGGCTGAATAAGGGTTCCAATTTTCTCCAAAGTGCCTTCTGGATCTGAATAACTAAGCGAATTTCTTTAGTCCGTGAGTGTAATGTTTTTCTGCAATGGCGAGTGTAGCGACACTTGATTGACAGTAAGCGTAATCGGATTACTAGAAAATTGGTAGGCGTTATGCAAAAACATAGGCTCTTAGAGCAGGCGCTCCGTTCCCTTTTCCCTTTCTCCCCCCCCCCCCCTTTTTGCGCCTGCCACGCAGGCTACCATTGTGGAAATAGATTCAGAGCCAGGGGCACCCAACGTCAATTTTCGGAAAATATCTGTTCGGAAGACGATTTGAGATCTAGAATTTTCAGAACATTTGTTGTTAAATGTCTTGCTTGCCTGCCCCTCCTAGGATTTTTCGAACATCTAAAAAATGGGAAAATTGACCATTTTTAACGGATTTTAACCCTAAAAAGGTCACCTAGAATTTTCGGAAGCCTTTTTTCTAGCTGAAATTTTCGAAAAGGTAAGTTTTGATCCTTATATTTTCGGATCACTATACTTTCAGCTAGAAAATTTCAAACAGATGAAAAATTTTAAGCGGATAAAAATATGCCTATAGCTACCGTTTAAATACTAAAATGCGTTTAACAATGCTATGTTTAAGTGGTTTTGAACTAAATTACTGTTATATTCTCGTTGGGTCCCCCTGCAGAGTGCAGGCCGGTCGAAGTCGGATTAAAATCGCCGGTTAAAATAACCATCGCGTTTGGATGTTTCAAAAGATACGTATCCATATTCCTCTGTATATGGTCACGAAGAGTCGCAGTTTCCGCCTCTCCATTGGCAACTGATGATAAACAACACCTAGAAAAATTAGCATTTTAAGAGCGACTGTCTGTAAATATCAACCAAAATCGAGTTTTGTGGCACAAGTTCAAAATTCAAATTTCGCTCATTTTTGGCTCATCGATAACCCTTAATGAGTAATGAAACATTCTGTAGTTAGTTTTCCCAAATAACGAGTTCTTTTGTTAAAATTCGAAAAAACGCATTTTGCCCGCTCAGAGCTCAAATCCACTTCCGGTAAAGCGAAATTTTACACAAATTCCATTGACTCGTATGTCAAACCACAACGATTTGGCAGCCTTTGAAAAACACGAATAGTTTTTATGACCCTTTCTTCTTATAAGACGATAAATTTGGGAAAGCTGTAATAATTTTGTGGCCAAAAAGGTATTGTTAAAAATAGGCCCTATTGACAATTTCTACCGTTCAAAATTATAGGGTAAAATAATGCAATTTTTTTCAATGCGCTGTAACTTAGAATTTCGCAAATTGACTTTCTAGGGCTTAACTAGGCCCCAATCTATTAGAAAATCGAAACAAATCTCTGGGCAAACGATTTTAAGTAGCCCGCAAGACCTCGAGTTCAACCCTAATTTTGCGAAAAATCGCGACATTCCAGTGGTTAAAAATAGCGTTACACGGCCGGCCCGTCACGCCAGCGGTGTTAACGACGGTTCTATTTCTATTCAACGCTGATCACATGCCAAATTCCAGCATACAATCTATATTACGTCTTTCAATACACTTATCTTATTTAGAACAGTCATTTTGTTTGGATACAATATATGGTAAA